GGGGGGGGGGGGGGGGGATACACGGTTGTCCCCGGGGAATCTGACCGTGGGTTCGGGTACCACCACCTCTGATTATCGCAGTACGTGACACATGGTCTCGCAACTTTCATTTGTTACCAGCCAGCCAACAAATACTGAGATTTTAAAACCACGAGCCTCTTCCAAGCAACGGAATGGAACGGTCAAGCACGAGCGTCATCGGCAGCCTGGATTTCCACGGCTTCCTGTCTCCAACTGCTGTCTCTCCCTCTCTACTCGCGACTGTCTGGTCTTTGGTTAGTGCCCCCCTCTGTTTCACTATCATCATCAAACAACCCTCTGTTCAACTCGCCACCGTTGTTGACGCAGACCATCGTCACCGGACAAGACCCAGCCGCGTCCAGCCCCTTGAGCGCGTGCAACGAGCCAAGGTCGTGCAGTGTCGCCATGTCCCCGATCAGCAGGGTCGCGGCAGACCGCAGACCGGCCGCGTACCTGCGTGCGGGGGCGAAGAGAAACAGTCCCATTTTCAGATATGGTTGACCGGGCACAGCTCGTGACTCATTGCTCGTGACTCATCGGCTTCATGGAAGGGAGCGCACGATGCGCACCGCAGGAACAGTTACCCCTACCCCGCGAAATGCCCTCGAAGATGAGAGAGAGAGCAAGAGATGGGGGTGGGAGTTGGACAGGTATGCGCGCATTGCACCACCCAGGCGATTTTTCATGTAGCTTTCGCCCTTGGCCTAAATAGACACAGTTCCTGCGGGAGGCTTGCCTTGCCGACTTGATTGTAGCGTTGTTCCGTACTTCTGACGCCTCTATTCTTTCTTGCGGACGCCCTGTGTGTTTTCTGGAGATGGCTCTCTACGGTCTACCATCCACGCCCAGCCGTCAATCTGACGCGCCTCCCGCCGCCTACTTGCACGTGCGTGATTGATACGCTTCGTCGCGTCGTTCGTGTATGCAACGAAAAGCAAAACACATGCTTCAAGGGCCTAAGAACACAAAAACAGATAGTCGTGGAGCCTGAGAACACGCAACACACATGTAGGCTCGAGGGGGCCTCCAAAACAAACGCTTGAGGTTCCCGACAACACCCAACTAACGCTCGAAGAACCTGAGTAACAACACATGCCAAAAACCGGGCAAGGCCATCGGCCTGCGCGTGTTTCGCGCATAAGGCACGCACCCCATCGCTGAGCTAGACACCCCATCGATCCCGCTAGCGCCGCGGTTGGACGCCACGTCGCTCAGCCTCCTCCCGCCGCTTCCCCTGTCCTCTTCCCCCCTGCCATCGAGATCGCCCAGCCCGCTGTCCGCGAAGACTTCCACGTCTCGGCACGGCATGCTCGCCGACAGGAACAGCCCCGCGGCGGGGTCGATGTGGCGGGACACGCACCAGGCCACGAAGGGCTCCGTCAGGGGTTGCTGCTGTTGCTGTTGAGCTGGCGGTCCCCTTCCTCCCTCGCTGGTGTCGTTGACACCATCGTAGCAGCCACGGCCTTCGGAGCCCTCTCGGCCATCTGCAGCCACGCGCTTCGCCACACGCGGCGGCGATGACGGTGGTCGTGACAGCGAAGACGACCCTGCCTCATCTCCGACAGGACCGGCGACGGCGGCGCAGGCTATCGCTCTGGTCTGCGCCCTCTCTACCGCGTTGGACACATCCACCAGGGCAAGCAGCTCGCTCCCGCCGATCGCGCCGCCCGAGGAGGATACTCCTGCGCTTTCCAGAACACGGTGGGGGCCGAAGTGAGGGAGGGACGGGAAGGTGGGGCATGAGGACAAACACGAAGTAATGTATTTCACATCAAGTACCAGCACGTACCAGGCTTGGTCTTAGGATGGGGCTGCCAAAATGGCAGGTGGAAGTGAACGACGAGGAGGCGGGCGTACTAATGTACAGCCAAGCCGAAGTCGTGAGATGATTCCCCTCGCATCCTTACCGTGCCGGGACGGAGCGATAGGCCGGGTATTCGCCCGCCCAAGCTACGATTCATAACGATGAACCAGAATGAAGGATAACGGGGGGTGAGCCTTTCGGTGGTTCACAATCACCCCCTTCGGTTGGGAGGTGCTGGACTGGGAGTTCAGACACTTGGCCCGAAGGCTGCGTGGAATCGTTTCAAGACGTTTGCTTTTCGGAGAAGCTAGAGTTTTACTGGTGATTTCGCTTGTGGATGTTCAGATTCATGCCGGTGCTGCCACCGCAGTACCCTCTCGTGGGGCACGCCACGCCGGCGGGGGAAAACCCTGACGAGTGTTGTCTATACCTTTACCTATGTTTCAGCTTTATTTTCATACAGTTTTTGGAATAATATACAGACCGAGGTGTCAAGCACAGCTCGTCGTGAAAACGCAGAAAACAATGCACGCACAATCCACCAAGAAGTTTACTGCTTCCTCCAGCAAAACCTTCCGAACTAATCCATGGCTTCAAAAGGGGTCTTGAAAGCGACGGCGACTTTGACGAACAAATTCCCACCTGCGTCTACCGCCGCCGCGAGATCCCTCGTGGAACACGCCAGCCTGGTGGTGAACCCCCTGCCGGGGTCGTGCCAAGCGGCGAGAGGGCTGCAGATGACACTCACGGGGGCGGTGAGGGTGGCGGCAGGCTCGGAGATGAACTTCTGGACGCGCTTCGATATCAGCGGCGATCCCACCTGTGATGACGATGACGAAGGGCGCCCGCCAACAGAAAAGCGAGCGAAAGGGGAGGAGGAAAAGAGGCAAACGAATGCTGTGCACAGGTTACAAGAAACGGCCTAGGAATCACGGACTCTCGTCGGGCTTTCGAACGAAAGAGAGATGCGAGGGCACGGGGCATGTTCGTTCTCTTTCGCCGCACCACGCACTGAAACGACCACGACGCCAGAGCGGCGACAGGATTGTGACAATGCAGACTTCCTGAAGGAGCCGCAATGTAGCCATAGGAAATGTATAGACGATACGGACCTTGATGACACCCACCGTTCGTGACGACGCCACAATGAAGAAAAATCGCAAAAAATATAACAAGTTGACCGGGTTGCTCGATAGGATCAAGACGTGTCTCACTGCTGTGTGTTCGTTTGTTTCTGGCCTGGTGTGTTCTTGCAGCAGTCTACACACTTCGGTTTATACTTGACATACATTATCAGTAGGGGTTGTCACTCAGACAGGAAGAAGGCAACACAGCAGTGATTCTTCCCCTTGTCTATCCACAGGACAACACACGCAACAGCACATGACACTCAATCTAGGAGGGCGCGAGCGCGGCTATCGTCGGTCCACAGACGCAAACATAACCACAAACGTTACATGCATCGCACCGCCATGCCAGCAAAGAAAAAAAAAAAGGCATACCGCAGCAGTATCCCAAACTTTTACGTAGTCTTGCCTCCTCTACCGGGAGGGGGGGGG